TATCAACAAGACGTTTAGGAGGAGTGCACGTTGATCAAGCGTGAGCGCATGCCGGTCACCGATGGATAGTATATTGTTATCTCACAGTAACAGTATCCGACATGAAGCAGTTATAGAGCGTCAGTATTGCGCGGAGAATCCCTACAGCTCAGCAGTAAACCCCGCGCTGCATGGATGGGTGGGGCAGCGGGGAGGAGAAAGGAGGAGGAGGAGGAGGAGGAGGAGCGCGAGAGAGGAGCAGCAGCATAGCGCGTGTATATTTGCATCGTATACATATATATATATATCTTTAAATACAAAAAATAGAATGAAGTGTCAGTTTTTTTTATATATCGAGAACATCTGTCTCTTCGTCAGGCTTCACAACAAACAGAATCTGAAATATCGGATGTGATATGAATATTGAATGTGAATATTCGTAATATATGTACATATATATATATATATGTATATTTATTTATTTATTTATTTAGTAATTAGAGTGGCTGTTTATCAAGTTATGGATATGCGATGGATACACAGCTGTCCGATATTGAGCGCACAGCGTCGTTAGAGACGTGCTGAGATATTACATTTATTGCTAACCGTGAACGAGTTAGCTGCAATAATAACTAAAACCAGAATCAGGGTAAACATGTTTTTACTTTTGATGGAAGTGATATAGATCGGAACAGATTTGTTAATTATATGAATGGCATAATTTTACTGGAAATAGAATTAGGATACCTTCATTAACAACAGAATTCAAATTAATATTGTCATCTATTTTACATATTTGTCTCAAAATTAACATGAAATTCTCTTCAAGCACATTGCAAAATAATGAGAATATTCCGCAATGTCATATTTTAACGAAATAGGATTTTACTTGTTAGTGCCAATGAATTCTGTTAATATATGATTCAATTTAATATATCCCCAAGGAAGGCAGCTGGAAATGAATAAGGTAGCAAGAGAATGTTTTTTTAAATATAATCTCTCTCTCTCTCTCTCTCTCTCTCTTTCTCTCTCTCTCTCTCTCTTTCTCTCTCTCTCTTCTCTGCTCTCTTCGTCTCTCTCTCTTCTCTCTCTCTTCTCTTTCTCTCTCTCTCTCTTCTCTCTCTCTCTCTCTCTCTCTCTCTCTCTCTCTCTCTCTCTATATTAATATATATATATATATATATATCAAAAGCTAATAATACAATATATTATATAGGTATTATTAGCTCTTGATATATCTATATATACTATAATTTGGCTAATCTTGTGTGTGTGTGGTGTGTGTGTGTGTGTTTGTTTGTGTTCGCTTTTCGCCCTGATTTGTCACTCAATTCGCCGCTAACTGAACGATATATTCAGAATCACACGTGCTGGGAGATGTGGTTCTGGCTGAGAAAAAAATTAAAAAAAGTTTAAGTATTAAGTATTAAGTCAAAAATTCGAAAAATGCTATTCGTCAATAGATGGCAGTGCGTACAGCAGATCCACATTCACATACGTGGGAATTACAATGGCTCTCTTTGACTGCCGCCGTATGAGCATATCAGAATCACCACGTCTGGAGATGCGTTCTGGCTCAAACAAAAATACTATTCTCAATAGATGGTGCTACGTCTCAGATCCCCCCCCGCTACTGCAGATTCCCCCCTGCTCACTCTGCTTTGACGTACACCGTACTGACAGTAGTCACGTGGCCAGTAGCCTTGCTGCAGGGTTCTGATGTACCCAGTGCAGTGGTTTTCTTTTCAGTTTACATGAAATATTTAACTTTATTTGTGTCACTTACATGGAGTTTATATTTAAAGACACAATTGCTGGTCTACGGGTATACTTTCTGCTAGTATATAAAAGCTGTTCAGCCGAATTAGTCCGTACTCGCATAACTAGAGAACTCCGCAGCCTAGGGAAAACTAAAGATATTTTTCAGAATCAGCACGTCTGGGATGTGGTTCTGGCTGAAACAAAAAGTTTAAAAAGTTTAAAAGTTAAAAATTGATAAAAATTCTATTCATTAATAGATGGCGGTGCGTGCAGATTAAAACATCACGTACGTGTGAATCCATGGTGTATAGACCCTTAAGCGCGCAATGGCATAATCGGCTAGAACATCCATCTCCTACACCGGATTCCGGTTTGAGTTTTTTATCTTTGATTTCGTATTGTTTTTTTACTGTTTGCATGGGATGGCATGGCATGGCATGGCATGGGATGTCATGGGATGGCATGGGATGGGATGGATGGGATATGGGATAGGATGGGATGGAATGCGGTGCGATAGGATGGGATTGGATGCCATGGAATGGGATGGATGCATGCATGCATGGATAGATAGATAGTTCGATTTTTTTGGGTATTTTCCTTTCAACCAAGCGGTCACCAACTGAGTAACGCCACTGATTTGAAATTTCCCCGGGCAACGCCGGTATCCGCTAGTATATATATATTAGAACGAAGATAGAAAGAGATAGAGAGAGAGAGAGAGAGAGAAAGAGAGAGAATATTTTTATTTCATTCAATATTTACTTCAAAGCAGGAGAAAATTTGTCTCAGTATATGTAAAACCTTCGCTTACTTTTGCATTACAGTTACTTTCCGTATTTATATCAGCATATGCGGAAGAAAAAGGAAGAATGTTAATTGAACAGATAAACATAAATATTGAAATTAGGATTTATTAACATTCTAAATAGGTTTTATTCGATTTTCCCGTATCACGTAAGATAATCAACTCATTATTTTCCTCACAAAGAATTGAAATATTAAGAGGACAAAATGGTTAGGACCAAGACTCTTTCCTCGTGGCAGGTCGGCATGTATACCCGTATATATATTTTTTTATTATCAAGGTTTAGGTGTGATCACGGGGGCTTTGCTGTCGAATAAAAATGAATACGTTTAATAAAATCGGTTTAACGAAATCCTTAACGAAAATAAATGTTACATAAAAACGTCAAACATGCCTATGTAAAGATTTTGATATTTATCGGACATAACTTGCGTTTGAATTCTTCCACGACCAATAGGCGATTGGATTATTTTCATCTTACTATTATTTAATTAAACGATCTTCTTTATCATATAATATTTGCAATGAAAAGACGTTACTTGAAAGCCGCTTCAAGGTTAACGCTTGCATACGCCTGTAAAACAATTAGAAGTAATACCCTGCTATAACCATATAATGCTGAACTTGAAACTTAAAGCCGCACAATGCGCATCGAAGCTAATTTCATCCAGTACTAGAATAGCAAATACTTCGTGTCATGCATAATCACACTATCTTATGACAAAATAAACTCTAGTTCCTCCCATTTCACTGCCGCGTTGTCTTATAAAAGGTATTTGATAAATACCTTCAATGTTGTTAAAATTCTCTGATGTTGTTGACAGTTTCCTCGCAAGCAACCGGTAGCGGTGCTGCGGTACAGCAGTACGGGTGTAGCAAAGATAAAACATGTGACGTCACCTCACCACTTCGAGGCTAAATTGTTTGGCAAACAGTCGGCGTTTGCGCCAGAATGCCAGTTTTCTCACCTCTTTCTTTGGGTTTTAAGCAAAGCGCAGTGAAATGGGAGCAACTAGAGTTTATGTTTGTCATAAGTAGTGTGATTATGCCATGACACGAAGTATTTGCTAGTCTAGTACTGGAGAAATTAGCGTTCGGATGCCATTGCTGCGGCTTTAGTTTCAGAATGCCAGTTTTCTCACCTCTTTCGTGTGGGTTTTAAGCAAACGCGCAGTTGAAATGGGAGCAACTAGAGTTATTTTTGTCATAAGGTAGTGTGATTATGCATGACACGAAGTATTTGCTAGTCTAGTACTGGAGAAATTAGCGTTTGGATGCGCATTGTGCAGCTTTAAACCGTGTCACACCCACCCCATCTTTAAGATGGTTCAGCAAAGAACAATAATCGTTAATACTGTAGAAATATAATGCGTTATCCTGTGGCCTCTGTTTATACTTATAGTCTATTGCGGTTCAACATTCTTGCTTAGCTGCATAGATGTCCCGTATATATACATATGTTCTTCTTATGAGGCTGCATTCATTTAAAACTTTAGTTATGATCTAGCGATATATTGCTAAACTTTAATTTAAATATTGTTTATAAAATTAAAACTTAATTTATAAAATTTGTTTTATAAAATTTAAACAAAACTTTGTTAAATATTGCCAGAACCGAGATAAGAAGCCAAAAACAGAAGGAAACCCCATTTAAATAGATTTAAATGGGGTTAAAACGTGGTCGTCTTGGACACCTGCCACTGCAAAGAACCCAACTATTGTACGATATAAACAGTCAGTTTTACAAACCCTCTGTACATCGTCGATATAGGCATGTACTGCTTTGTTTACACTTGTTTACACATTTTACAGATAAAAGCCTCTACATACGACATTGACAAACGCCCGAAATTGATTCCCCTGACAGTCTACCATTTCTCATACGTAATCTGCCTTGTAGAGATTAGCGGCAAAGCATTTTCTCTAATAATCATTTCGCTGTTACCGGGAAATGAGCGCCAGTCGGCGAAACAAATAGCGACTGTCTAGTTTGTAATTGCTGCTTCGTTACACGCTCTGCGTCCGACATTACGGCCGTGAATCCCTACGGTAGCGGCGGTAGCGGCTGCGGCCTCCAGCCTCCCAGCAGCAGCACTACCCGCACGATATTAGTCCCGTAACGTTGCTCGGGTGAGCCACCACGAATTACGTGCACGCCGCTCGTCCTATCTCACAGCGCCGCCGTACGCTCGTGAGGGCCTACGGGATAGCAGGGAGAGAGCGAGCGTGCGTGCGGGCGGGCGTGATTTAAAGCCGCGTTCCAACAGTTCTCATTATTTTTCTAGGTTTAGGAGGAAGGCTCCCTCGGGGACGCGGAGTTCCCACTCTCGCTCGCGAGTAGTTGTCCCTGCCGACGTCGCCACGCGCATGCGCAGCTGCTGCGAATATCTACACGTCGTTAATACACGTGAACTAAACTTTATTGCTCCACAAATCAAATTCATTGCCTGGAAGTATGAGCTCATATTTTACGAACTCGTACCTCGGGGAACTGCAGAGCGAGCACGATCACTATAGCACAGGTCAACAGAACCGCATCGGTGGCTGTGACCCGCTCCGCCAGCTCTCGCACCACTACGGACCGGATGCTAGCGGTGCCGACGTGCACGCCGACGCGGCATCGGTCAGCGCGACCTACCCGCGCTTCCCGCCATACGACCGCCTCGATATCCGACCGATAACTAGTCAGCAATCTCAATACGGATTCGGATCGCCGTGCGACCCGCTAGAGGACAATGGTTGCGCGACGCACGTGTCGCCTGTGCCGACACCGCTACAGCAGCAGCAGCAGCCGCAGCAGCAGGTGAATGGTCTTCACGAACAGCAGCAGCAGCAGCAGCAGCAGCAGGATCGTCCGCATTACACCAGTTGTAAATTACAGCCGGTATCTCAAGCGTCGCCCGTCGCCGCCGCGTCGCCTCCCGAGGATTCAACAAGAGGCTACCAGACACCGCAGCCTGGCCTCCAGCAACAGCCGCAGCAGACGGCGCAGACGGGACAGTCAGGAAATGCCATGCCAATCTACAAATGGATGAGAGAAACGAACTGTGAGTACATTCATAAATCCTTCCTCATGATTTTTATAGCCGCGCGCACCTGCTAGTCTCCCCTCATGCACCCCCTCCCCCACCCCTTCCCCCACCCTTCTCTCCCCCGCGCGCGCGAGACGCAAGTTTTATACCAGCTGTCTGTCAAAAATGACACCAGATGGCAGCATATATCAAATTAGGTACGTCCATGATACGTTGGCGATCCATTAGATTCGTTATGAGTTTAATAATGCTATCAACGTCTAAATATGACGAACGCACTAACAACGACGGGTTTGAATTGCACATATACTATAATCGTAAATCGATTTCGTCGGAATAGCTTCATAACTTCGGCGAAACGCTGACGCACGTATATAGATAACCCGACACACGCACGACTGTAGCGCTGCGCCGCTGTACACACGTAGGTGCTTTAAAATAATTTATTATCAATATAAATAGAGTTTATTGGCGCGTTGTAACAAAGACGCGGTAGTTAAGCGTCCGCAGCCGTGTTTAAGTGACCCCATAACAGAAGGAAATTAGCCACTAACGCTTAGTTGTTACTACTAGCTGCAGCGCGATTCGCTCACTCTCTTATCACAGCAGGTAGGTGAAGGCAGCGTCTTGTAACACAGTGCAGTGTGGCAAGGTATATACACACACACACACATAGGATCTCCCGTGATAGCGAGTTGTACGTGTAGCTCCGACTCTGATAGTCTGTGTGCATAATTACAGGTCATGCCGGAGCGCTATTTTTACACATATACATGTATATAGTTTTCATATCTATGTCTACTTTGTTCTCTCTACGGAAGAGCGCGACATGTGATGTAATGTGATGGTGTGTCAGTTGTTACGTTTGTTCATCGCGCTAGTTGCGTGTCAGTTATACCAGTGCTGAAATCATCATCTTACTACTGAGTAGTGACCTGCAGTGTGATCTTCTACATCGTTGGACCAGTAGAGGATGCTGCCTGAAGGGAAATGATCTATGAGCAATAATGTTGCGTGTTGGGAAGTGTTCCGAATTCCCGGCGTCATCAGTGCGTGTAGTGTGTGCCCGGAGAAGTTCTAAGACTTCAATGACATATGTTTCTTGAGCGACATGTTTAGCTATTTCTTTAGTGATATATATATATACATATATATATAACACTAAAGAAATAGCTGAATATCTATATATATAAATATAACTTTTTGCACAATTACTTATTTCATAGATGTTTTGTAGGTATGTGTATTTAATTACCATTATGTATTTAAGGTATAGGTTTGGTTATGATTACATTATAGTATGCATCTAGCAAAGACTGAATGTCCGAACTTACGCGTTATGCGTGTTCATATACGCAAATAACGATTGTATATTAGTATATATATATATATATATATATATAGTTAGATGATTTTTCCCAGCCACCCACCATGATTATACTGTGGAGATGGGGTCGGTGTAGCAGGCGAGCGGTCAGCGCACGGAGGGAGGGTTATTAGTGCTACACATGTGCGCAGCATGCGGTCTGGCGCATGTCTGCATGTCTTACAGCGACCAGAGAGGGCGTTCCCGTGTCGTCGTTTACTGGACGCGGGAGGCGTCTAGTGCAGCTCAGGATAGGATTCCTACCATTCATATATATATATATATATATACCATATATTTTTATTTATTATACTATACATACTATACTATTATATATTATATTATATTATATATTTATATTATACTATTTATTTGTATGTATACCATTGTATGTATACTATACTATTATATTATATTATATTATATTATATTATATTATATATTTATATTATACTATTTGTTTGTATGTATACCTTCTTTTTTAGGAATTTAACTGAGCGAGCGCTGTAGTGTCCTTCACCCCAAGTCCTCAGATGCATTTACGAACTCATGTGTATTCTAAACTTGGACCGTTATTGCCTGAAAGTATTGTTCTTTTTTGGCCGCTATATAATGCAGACGTGTGTGACATTGTGGAATGCCACCAGAATGATAAACAGATGTAGTCGGTGCGTGGCTTTGATGGCGTTGAGTTGTTCGCACAGCACAATAGCGATGGCAGTCGCTTCATTATGGCAATGCCGCCGCGCGTGCACGCACGCGTGATCTAATGCCTCACGTTTAAACCTGGTTATACACTGTCGGTTACCTGCGCGTGCACGCTGCCACGCATGCACACGTCTATAGCAGTATATAGCAGTAGCGTGTGGTGGGTGTTATAGGCTTATATAGTCTAGCTATAATTATTTTATTAACTCGAGCGCAATTCACATATACTATATAGGATAACTTCGCTGTTGTAACAATTAGTTTACTTCGCTTGTGAATTCCGTCAATTCAGGCATGTCTCATATTTTCATTTATTTATTTGTTAATTTATTTATTTGTTTATATATATTTATTTATTTATTTATTTGTTTATATATTTATTTATGCGAGTTACCGTACTAGGGTGAGTATTATATAAGACAATGTTTTAAGGTTCTCGCGTGTCTAAGCATGGATCATCTGTGTGTGTCTGCTTTATCGAAGAGCCGTGGGGAGAATTGAATTCACGCACCCAGCTCCCGCTTACATGATTAATAGAAATAGATGGACGGGTGAAACAGAACGCATAGTAACGAGTAAATAGCCACTTTCCATTATTTCGTTCTCGCTCAAGTATTACATTGTTAAGCAAAGTACATCGTATGAAATCATAACGTGCCGCGCGCCGTGAGTAACTATCAAATTCAGTAATTTCGACAATTGCTATATTAATAGTTAATTTTCAAGTCCTGATAGATAATTACCAGTCAAGAATGAATGAAATCTGATTTACAATACATTTTCGTGGCTGTTTATCATGTTGAAATGACATATGAAGTAGTAAATAACTCGGGTGGTTTGCGTTTTTTATCGGCGCGTTTTTCCGGCCACTACGCTCCCCGCGATGGCACCTTATAATCTGCAGCTAATTCGTTATTTGATCTATCGGTTTGTCCGAGGTTCGTCAATAATGAATGTTAATTATTGCAGAGCCGTACAGGGCGCGCGCACACGCGGACCATAGTTGTAGTGTTGGAGAACACACATTATGCAGACTACAGTATATACCGCTCCCTGCCCCCCTCCCCCTCAACTCGTGTGCCGCGCCACCCTATCACAGTCAGGCTCGATGCTAAACTGTAATATCGATGCGTAGCAGGCGCGGCCATTAAGAATGTTATTTGTTATAACGCGAATTATCTTTTCAGCGCGAATTTGATGTTATCGCGAATGACTAGAATTTATGTTAAAAATGATCGTTCGTGTGTAAACAATATACTTCACATCCTCAATTTTGGACATCGCATTAATTTACAATTACAATTGCGCATTTATATCGTATAGAATAAACTTTTATCTTCATATCATTTATTAGACTGAAGCGGTTTGTGCTCGCTGAGAAAACAAGGGGTTGTAGCGTTGTGTGTAATATATTCACTGTACTTCTACATACGTATAAATCTACAACGAAACATTACGTAATTAAACGTGGTTAGATATTATATACGTACATGTAAATAATTATACATACATATACATATAAACACATTTATAAAGCATTACGTAGTTCTTTAACGTGGTGAGAATACTAACAGGAGCCTGGCCAGCACTACAGCGCTCCCACTCTGCTCTAATCAGTGTCGCAGCTATAATGATATATGTAGTAAGCGCACACGCGCCTAGTACACACCGCATCACTACCTCTCATCTTAGTTCAATTGTATATCGCCGCGTAAGTTGTATATCGGTGTTAAGTTGCCCGCATCGCTGCGTATTTTCTGTAAGGCGGTCGGCGCTCTAGCATCGTGGTTGATTACCGCGCTATGATACGGACGTATGCGCAAGTTGTTTATATTGCTCGTCGGCGGATTCTGTTACGGCGTGTATGTAAGCGCGGCGCGTCGGCGCTGCTATTGCTGCTGCAGCCGACAGCATTAATAATCGTCGGCGACTGTGTCGGCATTCATGTTTCAATGGCAGAACCATTATTTTTGCCGGTTTATTTGCATCGCCTACATAGGAACAGACCTATCTATCTTCACGCGGCAAATAGCATTCGCATGGGCGTAAAAGGAGCCGGCACATCTTTCAGAGCCGTAATAAATGACCGGCGGTCCGTCTTTGTACATCAAACTGCAACTGTCGTGTAGGCTATAACCAGTACACATATAGATGGGGAGCGCGGCGGGCAGGGTGCACGTTCGGGCTGGGCACGGGTTGCGTGTAGCGGCCGTGACGGCGGCGGCGGCGGCGGCGGCGGCGGAGGAGGAGGAGGAGGAGGGAAGAGGAGAAGGGGAGGAAGCCGCATAAACACATCACGTATAACACGATCGGCGGCGGCGCTCTATTGCGGCGACACAGCGATTGCTGTTCGACGTTGTAGCGTCCGCGCTGTACACGACGTCAGCCGGCTGTCGTGTGCTACTTATATATCGTGGCACACAGAAACTCTCCCTCTCTCTCTCACACACACACACACACACGCACGCGCACACACACACACGCACGCACGCACGCACGCGCACGCACGCACACACACACTCACGCACGCACGCACGCACGCACGCACGCACGAACGCACGCACGCACACACGCACACACACACACACACACACACACGTTCACACTCACGCACGCACGCACACACACGCGCGCGCGCGCATGCACACATACACACGCGCGCGTACACACGCACGCACGCACGCACACACAATCAGAACCGTATTAACGGCTTGTACCGACACGTGGTTGTCTCTGTCTAGTTACTCTAAATATTTTCTTGTATGAAATCATTTTATTGGTTATATATCTTGGCTAGGATTACACAGTTGTGTATTTTCATGCATATACGTCACGATCACACAAACATTAGTCTACAATGTATATATAAATGTTGATCTAAAAAACAAATAGTAAAAATATGTTAACATGTACAAATCCAAAATGAATAATTGTTTTCTTTCTAGAACTATTGCGAATTCTATTGACCGGAAAACTCTTTATTCTTTATTTTTTGTT